AAGGTTTACGCATCAGGACCCTTCCACAACCAAGAAAGTCAGTCACGAAAGAGAAATTAATACCCAATACATAAAAAAGTGCCACCAATCTGAAACGAAGCGTGAAACAATAAAAAAAAAGCATCACGCACAATAAAAAATGGAACCGACGAACAAAGGGCAGAAATGAGGGAATGAGACGGACGGACCTGATGCCGCCCTGGCGGAGGGAGGCGTTCACCTGAGCGCCGTACCGGAGCAGGAGTCGCGCCATCCCCAGCTGGCCCTTCGTACACGCCTCGTGTAGCGGCGTGTACCCGGCGTTGTCCCGCACGTCCACCTCCTGCAGCTTCGTCTCCAGGCAGTACAGCCCGATGTCCTGGGGGAACAAGGTCTCAACTCGGCATCACGTTTCTCAAATCAACGGTAATTACTTGACTCTGATTCGTCTCCTGGCGATGCAAGCTCATGTCCGGTATTAAAAAAAAAAACTTCCAACACACTTTCCTTCTTCTAGGCTCCTTCCATTATGATTCAACTAGAGTAGTCTATCCTGCTCTCGCAAAGAGAAAAAATTGAGAAGAGACCCAAGACGTTTCTCACGAGGAAAAGCTGGACCAGTTCTTCGTCTCGCATGGTCACGCTTTTCTGACTTTGGGTTTCGTCGCTTTTTAAAATTATTTCCGACCGCGAGCTACGTTCCCGGTACTTTCAAGAATTCAATCAAATTCCAAGCGCCACCTTAAGTAGAAGATTTTCCACGTGATTCCATGCGTCGAAAATGAATTCGATTAAATTATTTCCATGTGTGAAAGCGGTCTTGAAGGTTGTGAAGATTCAGTATAAACATTTTACACGAAATCCTCTTGCCAACTTTTCCTCCCTTTTATGATTTCATGACTCCATGGATGAAAACTCCGGAGCACAAAAAAATTGAGCTTCGGCTCATGGAAGTAGAGATGACATCAACGGCGGAGCCCTTCGCGGAAACGATTCTCGGAGGAAGCAATTCCGTGCTTCCTTAATCGCCGGAAGAACCTCTCGAGCATGAAGTCATAGGAGCGCGCGGAACGAATACCGGCAGCCTACAATTACGGAAATACGAAATTAATAGTGACGTGGGGCATCTTCTTCCTGAATTATGCGATTGTTCAATCACAGGAATTTCCTACATTAATTACCAATTATGCGCCACTCATGAACAGTATCATATCTGACAACTGAAGTACGACCGAAATACGAGAAGACAAATGACGCTATGAACGTAAGTGCACTACGAACTAAACTCTCAAGCGCCACATACGCACAACAAGAATATAATACCCGAATGTATAAAGAATTTACAAATGAACTTAGAACAAAAGAAAAACATGCAAGAAAACTCTACATGAGTTTATATAGGCATTGCATGAAGTCTCATCGCAAAAACTCCGCTTGCGAAAAAAAAAACCTAAATCCCTAAAAACAAGAGGGAAGAAAATATCAACAAGAAAAATGTATCAGCCTCATCAGCCGTCATTCGTCTTCGGGTTGGCGGCCCCAACGCCAATCAATCCAAAAACACTCTCCATTCCTGATCAACGAGGAGTCGAGAATGCCCAAAAGAGAACACGTGGTTCAAGAGGAATGAGACGTGGG